CCTCCCGCCCCGCTGCCCCCGGGACCTTCCGCGGAGCCGCTCGGCCCCGGCGCTGCCCCTGTGGCTCCGTGACAGCGTTCGGGAGCGTCGGACCCAGGGCCGGGGCAAAAAGTCCGGTGGAAATCGCGCCAGCCGGTGACGCGCCCTTAGGGACACAAAGTGCTCTTAACTCCCCAAACGAAGCCCCTTGGTTAAGGCCGGGCTGGGGCCGGTGCTGCTGCTTCCCGCTGCTCTCTGCTCCCCTTCCCCTGGGCTCGTTGGGGCGTTCCCTGTTTTGAGTCCCTGTGTCTAGCTCTCCCCTCAGTGCCTTTTTAGTCATATTTCCACCTGTAGAAACATTCCAGCTTCGTAATTTTGTGCAGCACGTGGGCAGATGAAGGCTGGAGAGATTTGGAGCTTAATTCAGTGCCCAGGTGAAAAGTTCTTGGGTTTTGCTCCGTTTCAAAGAAATCCTGAGAAAGCCCCTGCTTGTGACACCCTCCTGAAGCACCTCACAAATATTTATTGTGCTGGTGCCTCCGACACGTGGAAGCTCCCAGCAAACAGAGCTGCTCGGAAAAGAGCGTCCTGGAAAAGCCAGGCGAGGAGGAGCCGCTCGTTCCTGGAAGGATCCCGGCGGGAAGGAGCAGCTCCCGGGCCTTGGAGGAGCGCGTGGGTTTCCACCTCCTCCTGCTCTTCCGCGGTGCCCTGCGTTGCCTCCCGAGTCGTTCCCAAACGTGTTCCTGCAGCTCTGACTCCCATGGAAGGAATGTGGGAGAGCGGAGCCACTCCGCGGCACCTGCCGGGGCGCGGATGGGGTCGGGATCCGCAGGCCGGCGCTGCCGCGGCGCCCGCGTGCTCCTGCCCCTGCGAAAACACCTCGGAAAGTCCCTTCTGAAAACAAAATACAACCTGCAGTGGGATTCCTGCGGCAAAAAGCCGGGCCGGGAGCCTCGTTCCCTTTTGGAAAACAACCTGATGCTCTTTTTTTCACTTGGGATTTAGTCTTGCTGGTGGTTCTGGGGCAGCTTCTCGTTAACGTCCTTGTGATGTGCTTGGTTTAAGGGGTGCTGCGGGCGGTGGTGGAAGCGGCGAGCGCCGGTGCGTCGGTTCTCTGCCTGTGCGAGAAGGGAGATGCCATGATCATGGAAGAGACCGGCAAGATCTTCAAGAAGGAAAAAGAAATGAAAAAAGGTGAGGCCTGGCGCAAAGAAACTGCCTTAACGTGGGGGTTGTGGGGAGGCTGTTTGTCCCGCTGTGTGGCTGGTTTAGAAAAGCACAGTTCTGTGCTAATCAGCATAAGAAATCATTTCCCGTTCCTGGGGAAGCAGTTTTGACCCAAATTGGCCCGCTCACCCCGTTCATGAGCATCATGGATCAGCCTGAGCTTCCTGTTCTGGTTTTCCAGGGGTTCAGGTTGAACCTTTGGCCCACAGTGTCCTTCCTTCAGGAAGACCTGCTGTTCACCTGTAGTTGGCCTGTAGTCGCCATGGAAGTTGCCTGACACTCAACTGTTTCCCTGAGAGCCCTGTGGCTTTTTGCTCTAGAGCTTTGGGGTCCCCTTTTAAGTGTCTCACATCGGTGGGTGTCATTCTTTGACATTCTTTTTTGGGCAAAAAGCAGGTGAGTGCAGGAGCACAGCACGAGCCAGAATCCTGTGGCTTTTGGGCTAGCAATGTAGGAAATGGGACACTTTGCTTAAACTAAATCGTAAGTGACCAAACTGCGGTGACCGCGCTCTGTGCAATCCAAGACTTCATGGAATATTTCTTCTTCCCTTGACAGGTATTGCCTTCCCAACGAGTATATCGGTAAATAACTGCGTCTGTCACTTCTCCCCCTTGAAGAGTGACCAAGATTACATCCTCAAAGACGGAGACTTGGTCAAAATGTGAGCATCTTGGTTACGTTTCTTGCGAGCTTAGCGTCGGCGTTGTGGCTTTGCTCGTTAGAGCTGCTTGCTGTGCGAAATGCTTTGGCTTGGCTAATTAGCGAAGCGCTCAAAGCGTCCCTGACTCCTTGGTGCTTCTAGAAGTCACGCAAAGGCCCCACCTGTAATTAACTCTCTTTGTAATTAACTCTTTGTGTTGGAGTGACTTGGGAGTCCACGTCGATGGCTTCATAGCGAATGTAGCTCACAGTTTTGTCATAGATGCCTCCAAGGTGGGTGTCTGGGGAGCGCCGTGCCCCTTTCGGCGCAGTCCGGCTTGTCCCCTAGCCCCAAATCCGGTCTCTCCTGCTGCTTTTCCACCTGGACGTGCCGGGTATGGGCGTGGAGTGACGTTGTTCACCCGGGGCTGTCAGCAGCTCCCGGCGTGTGCGGTTAGTGCCCCAGTTCAGTCGAGTCGCTGAGTAAATGACACTAAGCTCTGTTCATGAGGGTGCCTTAAAACACGTAAATTTGGAGTCAGTTTTGGGAGGAGGATGTCAGCTTTGCTCCTGGGATGGTTTTTCTCCTAAGGCTATGTCAGATAGGGTGAAAATGGGGCAGGGGGTGGCGGTGGAATCCATTCTATTGAAATCTCTCCAGACCATGTTTCTGCCTACAAGAGAGTCTAGTTCTGTTCCCTGTCTGCCTTGAATCTCAAAGATTTGCCTGTCCTTCCAGGAAAACCCTGTGTCAGGTCGTAAAGCGGATGTCATCAGGGCTGCTCACCTCTGCGCCGAGGCCGCTCTGCGCCTGGTGAAGCCAGGAAACCAGGTGAGTCCCGGGGCTGCGCGTGCAGGGAGCAGCCCTGGAGCCCCAGTCCAGGCGCCGGCGTCGCTCCGTGTGTGGAAGCAAAGCCGGTGCCCTTGCCTGGCAGGAAGGGTTTGGCTGTGCGGGGAATCCGAAGCAGCTCCCCGCACAGCTGAGCTGCTCCGGGGTGAGCAATGGGCCACCAGGACGGGTGGCAGCGGCTGCTGTCCCCGGCTCTGGGCTCCCGGCGCCGTCGAGGCTCCGGTGCGCGAGGTCGGCTGCGGGGCCTCGGTGCTCCTGCTTGCTGCTTTTCCCTGGGAGCTGCTGGGTGCGCGCAGGGAACTTGAAATGCTGGGAGTCACGGCGACTTTATCCCGGGATTCCAGGCCTGGTGAGCTTTGCTAGCAGAATTGGCCTGGCCTTGAGGTTCAGCTGGCAGCAGGCGCAGGGATGAGTTAACCTCAGGTTAAGTGTCATTTTTGTTGCTACAAAAAGCTGTTACCTCCTTTTCTGGAGGTGTTAGGGTAATGCTCAGTTAGAAAACCTTTTTTTTTGCCTTTTTTCCCCATGAAACAATGTCAAGATAAAAAACGATCATGCTTCTGGCTTAAATTTTATATCCTTAGTGTCTTTTCATGTGCTCTTTATCCAGAACACGCAAGTGACAGACGCCTGGAACAAAATAGCCCACTCGTTTCACTGCACGCCCATCGAAGGTAAGGACTCGGGAGCAGCGGCTTCAGAGGTGCCCAATGTTCCAGTTGCCCAATAAATCCCTGCCCTACTCGAATACGGGGAATATTTAATGGCTGTGAGTCCTAGACGCTCCATCTCCAACGTAGCAGCCTTTACCCAAACACTAGAGCAAGTTGCTTGGTCCTTTTCTTCGTGCTTGGCTCCTTGTAGTTCAAAAGGCTTTAGTGAAAAATGAAAAGAAGAGCTTGTTAGTAACACGGGAGCCTTTCCTAAATAAAGCTTTAGATGTGCAGGGAATTTCATTTCCTCCTTGCTGAAGC